CCCAGAAGATTGGAAGTTAGCGAATGTTGTGCCCATTTACAAGAAAGGTAATAGGGAGGAGTCGGGCAACTATAGGCCAGTAAGCCTTACTTCAGTAGTGGGGAAAGTGATGGAAACCATGTTAAAGGGTAGGATTGTTGAACATCTAAAAACACATGGATTTCAAGATCAGAGACAACATGAGTTTACTACAGGGAGATCATGTCAAACTAATCTTATTGATTTTTTTGATTGGGTAACTAAAATTATAGATCAGGGTGGTGCAGTAGACATTGCTTACCTAGATGTCAGTAAGGCTTTTGACACTGTTGCACATAGAAGGCTTATCAATAAACTGCAATCTTTTAGTTTGGATTCCGATATTGTTGAATGGGTAAGGCAGTGGCTGAGTGAAAGGCAACAGAGGGTTGTAGTTAATGGAATATATTCGAAGCTTGGTCTTGTCACCAGTGGGGTATCTCAGGGATCTGTACTTGGACCCATTCTCTTTAATATTTTTATTAGTGATATTGCAGAAGGTCTTGATGGTAAGGTATGTCTTTTTGCTGATGATACTAAGATATGTAACAGGGTTGATGTTCCAGGAGGGATAAGCCAAATGACAAATGATTTAGGTAAACTAGAAAAATGGTCAGAATTGTGGCAACTGACATTTAATGTGGATAAGTGCAAGATAATGCATCTTGGACGTAAAAACCCAAGGGCAGAGTACAGAATATTTGATAGAGTCCTAACCTCAACATATGAGGAAAGGGATTTAGGGGTGAATATTTCTGATGACTTAAAGGTAGGCAGACAATGTAATAGAGCAGCAGGAAATGCTAGCAGAATGCTTGGTTGTATAGGGAGAGGTATTAGCAGTAGAAAGAGGGAAGTGCTCATGCCATTGTACAGAACACTGGTGAGACCTCACTTGGAGTATTGTACACAGTACTGGAGACCGTATCTTCAGAAGGATATTGATACCTTAGAGAGGGTTCAGAGAAGGTCTACTAAACTGGTTCATGGATTGCGGGATAAAACTTACCAGGAAAGGTTAAAGGATCTTAACATGTATAGCTTGGAGGAAAGACGAGACAGGGGGGATATGATAGAAACATTTAAATATATAAAGGGAATCAACACAGTAAAGGAGGAGACTATATTTAAAAGAAGAAAAACTACCACAACAAGAGGACATAGTCTTAAATTAGAGGGACAAAGGTTTAAAAATAATATCAGGAAGTATTACTTTACTAAGAGGGTAGTGGATTCATGGAATAGCCTTCCAGCTGAAGTGGTAGAGGTTAACACAATAAAGGAGTTTAAGCATGCATGGGATAGGCATAAGGCTATCCTAACTATAAGATATCCGTATCCGGAAATACACCAAAGCCGAAACCCGGAAGTAACACGCACAGCTGATTTTCTTCGCGGCAAATTTGATTGTAGTTATAAAAGACGAGTGTTTTATGTATTTTTGTTTACAGAGGACTGGATGCCCCTGATGAAGTTCATTTTATGAACGAAACGCGTAGGGCTTGTTTCTTATATGTGGAGTATTTGTTTTTAAATGTATTTTACCTTATTTGGTTATTCTGCTCTTCTGATCCTGGGACTGGTTTGCAGCTTCAGCTGAGTTTGATGTGCCTTTTTGATACATCTTTTTTGTAAGTGTACCTTGTAATAAATTCTGTTAATTTTATTTAAGATACTCTGCACTATTATTATTTTCTATTCTTCCTCTTATACATGGGATTGACGTTCCACAAATCGAGAAGTCCATACATCGTTATTTATGATATGCCTGCAATCAAATTGGGTCTGTGAGTGTATTCATTTATTTCTACAAATTCCCAATACATTACGTTACTATTCTATGTCCGTTTCTATTATTTTGTGTTGTAGATTGCCTTCTGGTAGTATATCAATATTGTTCTAAGGACATAAGAGGAGTCCTTTCATCTACTTCACTTTTGAATAAGGGTAATTTTTTGTATTTTTACATTTATTACCCACTAAGTGTGTTTTCTACCTGCACACAGGTGTTTTTGTATCTATATAACTATAAGATAAGGCTAGGGCAGGGGTAGGCAACCTACGGCACTAGTGCCGTGCTCGGCACTCGAGGTGCCATTGCACGGCACTCAAGGCTGCTAGAGCCAAACAGGCTCTGGCCTATCAGGAGTCCCAGTAAAACTTCACATATCTGCTAATACGAAGGGGTGGTGAAGGACAATCCTCAATTTCTGCATTGCAGCACGTAGAGAAAGTGATCTCAGAGCACTTCATTCCAGCACTTGTGAATGGGAATCCACACGATATTAGAGCAGCTCGCAGTTGTTGTTGCAGCTCCTGTCCTTGACCTGTACCTGGCCGGCATGGTCCCCACTGGAACCCAGGGAAGCCACCCACACTGCTAGATATACACAGAAATGCAGAATAACCTTCCCCTCATACAAATAATACGGACAGCCCACACACAAACATACACACAATCCGCACAAACGCAACACCACTAGCAATCCACATACATGCACACAACCCCACATGCAGCCTCTCACATGTAATACCCCAAAGAGCCCCCACATACTACTAAACACACAATGTGACATATCCATCCACACACACAATTCCACAAGCAGCCCACATACACAGCCCACATTCATATGTATCATGCACAATACCATAAACTACTCATGAACATATACAATATAATAGCTCATATACGCACAAATACAACGATACAAAGCAATTATAGTAAAAATAACACAAGCAGAATACGGCAGCATACACACCTCAATTTAAAAAAAATAGGACCTGCACGCTACGGGACATCACAATCCTATATCGGCACAGTGCTGCTAAAAGGTTGCCTACCCCTGGGCTAGGGACTAATGAAAGTATTTAGAAAATTGGGCAGACTAGATGGGCCGAATGCTTCTTATCTGCCGTCACATTCTATGTTTCTATGTTTCTATGTTTCTAGTGCAGACAAACTCTCAGACACACAGACAAGCTTACTACAGACAAACTCACTGACACACATGCACCCAAGCTCGCTGACACACATACACGCACAGGCACACACACACACACACACACAAGTTCACTACAAACAAGCTCAATGACACAAACATTCTCACTACAGGCAAGCTCACTGACACACAAACATGCTACCTATAGACAAGCTCACTGACACACACTCACTACAGAAAGCTTACTGACATACTCACTACATTCAAGCTCACTGACACACAAATGCTAACTACAGGCAAACTCAGTGACACAAACACATACACACACTCAAGCTCCCTGACACACATATGCACACTATATACAAGCTTAATGAACACAAACATGCTTACTAGAGACAAGCTCATTGACACACACAAGCTCACTACACACAAGATCACTGACACACACATGCTCACTACACACAAGCTCACTGACAGATACCAGTTTACTGACACTCACTACAGACACAGTATTTAAACAGTACCTGGCAGTGGAAGCGGGGTGAGATCAATTTTTCTCTGGGAGGGCATTTGCTTGCCTTTTCCTGCAGCAAGGTCCACTGCTTGACTGTCGGAGGCAGAGCTTATGTGAGGGGGCAGGGCTTCACACGGGCAGAGCTTTCATGCAGGGGTGGGGCATATGTGCTGAGGAAGGTGCTGGGAATTAAGAAGGGAGACTCAGCATTCCATACGCCAGCAGCTTTAATGCAGCTGCACCAGTTCCCAGCACCTCCCTTCTGAATTCCCAGCTGTCACAGTCCAAGGGAAATATTATTAAAATAAGACATTAGCACTTCTCGCTGGTCCCAGGTTCTGCAGCTCACCGAGAACATTTTCGGTATCCCGGTGGGCCAGTTCGGCCCTGCCTCAGCACCTTTGAGTGTCTCTTTCTCCCCCAGCCCTTTTGATTGTCTCTTTCTCCCCTTCCCTCAGCCCTTCTGCGGGTCTCTTTCCCCAGCACCTTTGTGTGTCTCTTTTTTTCTCACCCCATTTGTGTCTCTTTCGCCCCTTCACCAGCCCGTCTGTGTGTCTCTTCTCCCCCAGATCCTGTTTGTGTCTCTTCCAGCCAGCTTCTTTTTTCCTTTCCTTCTGTGTGTTTCTGTGTCCCATTCCCTTGCACCTCTGTTTGTCATTGTACCCTTATTCAGACCTTTTTTACCTTTGTCCCCTTCAACCAGGCCCTTTTGTGTGTCTCTTTCTTTATGCCCCACTTTCTCCTCCTTTGCCTGCTCACTTCTCTTTTGTAGTGTGTCACTGCAGACAGTGGTAGAGGATCTTCTTTATTTTCTACCTGGACTAACAGGAAGTTGTTTGTTGCTCTAATAGAGCACTTTCTGCCAGACCAGATAGAAGATACAGAAGATCCTCTCCTGTAGTATGCCTGTCCACGCTACATGAAGTGACTGGCCAGATAGCTGTGCTGTGCACCCCCTTTTTGCCAGACACCTGGAGGCTGGACATTTAGGCAAAATTATAATAAATGTTTATATAGAAGAGAACAATATAAATATCATGAAATGATTTCAAGAGGAGTACACTTAGAGTTGCCATTCTAATAAAATCAAAGGAATTTCTCGAGTACACATAAAACATGTTCTTAGATTAAAGGCCTTAATATTGAAAATATATGTCATGTTGATTAATGGTTAGAATGTTGAGATTACACATTAATGTAAAACTATATTTAGTCACTCTTTTGGATACTTTTTCGTACATGTGCTTTAACATCCATCTGCTGTGGGATAGATTAAAGGCTTAGCTTGCGTGATAAGATGCAAGACCTTTCTATGCTATTGCTGGAAACCAAACATGAAGCTTTTGATGTGAAAGCAATGAAGGTTTAATGACTCTTGAAGCATGTTATTTCAGACTCGCATACTAAGATCCTCATTTAATATGGTAAACAACAGGTTGAATGATCATTAAAATAAAACATAATAGCATGATTGAGGAAGCCTCAGCATAGCTTAATTGTGCATTACCCTATAATACGTAACATCAAGACTTGGAAGTAAAAGAGGTTGACAAAGTACATGGCTTGAAAACCGAAATACAGGTTTATAGGATACAAAGTGTAAAAAATTAATGAATGTTTTAACAGCAAGATGGAATTCAAAGTCAGGATATAAAAAAAGGAACATTTTTAACTTAAGAAGGCAGAAATGCATGAACTAGTACCCACTGGCAGAACGTGGTTTAAATATTTATTTTCCTTTAGAGAGAAAACATGAAATAAACAGCAAACCATCACAGGGTAGAGATCTGATGTTGAATGCAAAACAACATTCGTAATAGCAAAATTGAACTGCTTAATTAACCATGAAAATGAGAATTAGTGTGCCATTTTATTAAGTAAATATGCAGCATTTTTAAATGTACCAGGAAAATACTTGTGTGTTATGTCTGCTGTGCATTTTTATAAAGGTAAAAATAGCAAAGTTTCTTAATTACAATGTGAAATGTAAAATCGTTAAATTTTAAAGAGGCTGCACGGGATAAACTTTACTATTTCTAGGATTTTGTAAAATTAAAAAATATGCTCATATCTCTTGATCAAGGTATTTGTAGAGTTATAAATGAGAGCAGCAGTCATTAGTAAAATATAAACAAAAAATAAAAACGAAAACGGTGCCTTTTCACCAAGCACAAAGTTTTAGTTACCAAGTACCTAAAACTGAGGCCACTTGATTACAACTCAGTAAACCTGGGCAAAAGACTCAAGATGTTAATGAGCCCAGCTAGATGAAGAAATTCTGTAAAATTTTTAGTGATGATATCCTACAGTGTTTAACGTAAAACATCATAACAGGCAGAGTAAATGAGCCGACTGTTTTATTTGCAGTCACAATCTACTTTTCAAAGATACTAACTTCAAGATGGTTCAGGCTGTTGAAGGCTACTTCAAAGTTGTTTCGTTCATGAAAATTCAATTGAGTCAATGACAGAATGTACAGTTACTTTTGTGTGTCTAGAGAGTGAATTAAATGTTTAGTTTAAACAAAGTTTAGTTAAAATGACTGCATTGTGCAATATTATTTAAAAAAACCAAATAAATACATTCAGGGAAGGATACAGCAGAGAGTTTATTAAAATTTTTGGATTGTTGTATTTTGTGAGTGAATTCTTAGTTAAATTAATTGATACCTATGTCAGATATACAGCTTATCTTCTCTACCAAAGCTCTTAACAAAACTGTTCATAAATCAACTTAAGGACTAAATGTTTAAAATAATGAATTCTTGGCATCATTTCAAATGGTAGTAGCACCAAATATGTTAAAGATGTTAATACACTGCTCAGCTACAACATTAAAACCACTGACAGGTGAAGTGAAAAACATTGATTATATTGGTACAATGGCACCTGTCAAGGGTTGGGATTTATTAGGCAGCAAGTGAAGTCAGTTCTTATATTTCATATGTTGGAAACGGGAAAAATGGTCAAGCTAAACGAGTATTGACTTCGACATAGGGCCAATAGTGATGGTTAGATAACTAGATCAGAGCATCTCCAAAAGACTTGTGGGGTGTTCTCGGTATGCAGTGGTAAGTACCTACCAAAAGTGGTGCAAGGAAGGACAACCAGTGAACCGGCATAAGGCTCATGAGCGCCCAAAGTTTATTGATCCACATGGGGAGCAAAGGCTAGCCCACACAGAAACGCTAGCTCGATTTGCATAAAAAACCCTAATGCTGGCCATGATAGAAAGGTATCAGAAGACACAGTTTGCTTTGTATGGAGCTGGATAGCTGCAAACCATCAGACATGTGCAATTCGTTTCGGTCCGAATATGAATTCGGACAAATTTCGTGCAATTCGGACACTCGGGTACTTCCGAATGTCTGAATAGCCGAAGTTCCGAAGTGCCGAATTGCCGAAGTCCCGAATTTCGGAATGCCGAACCAAACCGAAAATGTTTCCCATGCACATGCCTACAAACCATTCAGAGTGCCCATGATGACCCCTGTCCACTACTGAAAGCACTTTTTAATGGGAATGTGAGCATTAGAACTGGACCATGGAACAATGTAAGACTGTTATATAGGGGTGTATATAAAAAATACCCCTCTCTGTCTCATTAGAGATATCTTTGCCAGAAGCTCAAGGAAGCAAGGTGAAAGGTCAGTGTAGGACCCACCTGAGGGGGTTTACCTTGACGGGGCAGGTGGGCATTCCCCCCAATGGCCATTAGAGTAACTAAATAACCTCCATTTGTTTAAATATACTTAAGGATTTAGGAGAGAGCGCAGGTAACTTTTTCTTTGGTTTTTAATGTAAGACTGTTGCCTGGTCTGATGGATTACATTTTCTTATAAATCAGGTGGTGGCTGAGTGCATGTGCATTGTTTACCTGGGGTAGAATGGGAGCAAGATGCACTATGGGAAAATGGCAGTTTGCTTGGCCTCCAAATTCCACAGAGCTCAATCTGATTAAGTATCTGTAGGATATGCTGGAACAGTAAATCCAATCCATAGGGACCCTACTTTGCAAACTGCAGGACTTGGAGGATTTGCTGCTAATGTTTTGGGGCCACATATCACAGGACAAAGCCAGATATCTTGGGAAGTCTATGCTTTGACAAATCTTAGCTGTTTTGGCAGCACAAAGGGAGGACCTATACAATATTAGGCAGATGGTTTCAATATTATGTCTGATTAGTGTATTTCCAAAAGAGAGTTAGATATATAGTGAGGTTCAGAACAATTTGGACACTGGCCTATTTTTCATAATTCTGCCTCTGTATGCCACCACAATGGATTTGAAATTAAACAATGATTTGCAATTGAAGTGCAGACTTTTAGCTTTAATTGAAGGGGTTGAACAAAAATATTGTATGAAATGTTTAGAAATTGCAACCATTTTCATACACAATCCCCTTTTTCAGGGCTCAAATGTAATTGGACAAATGAACACAATCATTATTAACATTTCTTTTTTTAATACTTTGTCAAATATGCATTGCAGGTAATGACTGTATGAATTCTGGAATGCCTGGATATTACCAAACGCTGGGTATCTTTATGATGCTCTGCCAGGCCTTTATTGTAGCTGTCATCAGTTGTTGTTTGTTCATTGGTCTTTCTGCCTTAAAGGAACACTGTAGGCACTGTAAAAACTTAAAATCATTTAAGTTGTTAGAGTACCTTAAATATTTTCATCCTTCTCTTATTTTTCAAATCATTTTCTTTATTCTTTATGAAGGCTTTGAAGAGCGGCTTTAAGCCACGTCCCCAAGCCAGCCGATTCTGAGAGACGGGAATGTAACTCATACTCTGATGTCAGCACGCATAACTGATGTTAGGTCGCCTAATGCACGCTCCCACAATATCAGACCAAATGTCGGTGTTCGTTTGTTCGTTCGTTTATTACAAGGAGAGAGCAATTGGCTCACAGCTCCCTCCTTGTAATATGTAAAAATAGAAGTAAGATGTGAGCATATCTACTAAACAGTGAGCACTGTGGTGAACCAGCCCCCCACCCATCTATTAATAGCAGGGAGGACATAGTGTGGGGACTCATGGGTGGGGTCCGAGGAGGGAGAACAATAGGTTCCCCCATTGTAATTTTGAGCACCTACCCACTGCACAATGGTGGGGGACAGGGGGACGATAGGTTCCCCATATCATCTTAGGGCCCCCAATCGCTGCTCATGGGTGGGGGCCAGGGGGGAACAATAGGTTCCCATGCTTTATTAAATGACTCAGAACACTCTGATTGGTTGGATTCCAAGCCAACCAATTAAAGTGTTGTTATGAGTCAAATTACAGAGCATGGGAAAATTCCAAAGAACTTTCCCACAATGTGTAAAATTACTCCGAGCACTCCAAGCCAACCATTAAGAGTGCTCTGATAGGTAGATAGTGAGCCTTACAGGCACCCAATCAGATAAGGCTCACTATTTACCTATGAAAGCGCTCTTATTTGTTGGCTTAAATTGCAGGCTGTGGGAAGGCTTTAAAAGCCTTTCCCCACCCTGCGGAGCTCAGTCTCGCTGGGTGAAGATGGATTAATTTTTCAGCGTCAGGATTTTTTTTTTTGGTGTCTTTTTTTTTAGCTCAGGTTATTTTTTTATTTTAGAAGTTAAACAGAAATTATGGATTTTTATTTGGCCTTTTTTGGGGCTGAATAAAGAAGGTTTTGGAAAAAAGAAGACATCTAATGGTAAGTATAATTTTTTTTTTCTTTACAGGTATTTAGATTTATTACTTCCCCCTCACTATTTTTAGGGTGAGGGGGGGTAGGTAGTAATTTATTTAAAGGGGGGGTGACTATGGGCCTGGGGACCCCTAGTCACCTTGTCGGCGGCAGGGGGTTTTCACGTTGCTCTCACCCGTAACCCATAGGTGGGGGCCCCCACCCGCTGCACATGGGTGGGGGCCGGGGGGACAATAAGTCCCCCTTATCATCTTAGGGCTTCCACCTTCTGCTCATGGGTGGGGGTCGGAGGCAAGGGACAATAGGTTCCCCCATTGTAATTTTGGGCCCCCAACCAACCCTCATGGGTCCCCCCCCCCATTGTCACTATTTAGATTGTTCAAACTGGTGCCTATTGTCCAGCCCCCCCTTTGCCCCAACCCATGAGCGCCAGGTGGGGGTTGAGTGGGACGGGACAATAGGCACTAGTTTGAACAATCTAAATATGGAGGACTTTACAGCAGTGAGCTGATCTCTGATTCAGCAAATGGAGCACATGCGCAATAGATCATTTGCAGATTCTCATAGGGAGTCATTGAATACAATGATTCCCTATGAGTGTAATTTGAGTGGCGCATATCGGCAAATGTTGCGCATGTGCGTTTGGTCCACAAGGCTTCTCTATGAGAAGCTAGTGATTGGACCCAAATGATAAGTAACTGATGACACGAAAGGGGGCTTGGCGTAATGCTGCAAAGTCAACTAAACAACTATAAGTAAACCAGGTAAATCCTATTTTAAATGTAAATATTACTAATAATTAAATAATTGGAATGGTGTTTGGTGAAATACAGTATATTAATATATATAAAATACATCTGAAATATAATAAACTGGAAGATAGTACAGTGTTCCTTTAAGTTGTCTTCAGCAAGTGAAATACCATGCAATACTTTTTTCTTCCTATCATCCTGGTACAGGCTGATCTTAGTTTCCAAGGAATGCTGTTCAAGAACTGGGCTAGCTTTTTTAGATGTTTTTTGGCGAAGTCTAATCTGGCCTAACAAAGAATATAAAAACTCTGACAAAAGCTTAGAGAAACTCAGTAGCTTGCCCTTCGGTAAATCCCCTGCCCTTACTGTGCTATCAAAGAGAGAACATATTTCAAGTGCATCAGGCTGATGCCACCCACAAGGGCAGCCCAGAACCAAAATGCCAGCAAGTTTTCTCTGCACGAGAGATACAGCAACCCAGAGATGATCATTTTGGCCGTCTTTGGGCCTCATCAGTTCTGGACTGCCCTTATAGGTAGGATCATTCTGATATGCTTTGGTATATTTACTCTCTGTAATGGCAAAGTGAGCAAAAACCTATAATGTAGGGCAAGCTACTGAGTTTCTCTAGCTTTTGTCCATTCTCAGAGTTCTCATATTCTTTGTTTTGTTGTTTTCTATTCTTGAGGCTTAGGAATTATTTGCACCTTGTCGTGAACTCTCTGTATTTGCTCTTGTGAAGTCTTCCCTTTATGGTAGACTTGGATAAAGATATTCCTACCTCCTGGAGAGTGTTCTTAACTTGGCTGGATGTAGGGAAGGGGTTTTTCTTTACCATGAAATGGATCCTACGATTACCCACGACGGTTGTCTTCCATTGACTTCCAGGTCTTTTTGTGTTGCAAAGCAACAGAGTGTTCTTTTTTTTCTCAGAATGTAACAAATTGTTGATTTTGCCATTCTGTATGTTCCTGCTATAGTTCCGATGTATTTTATATTTGAAGCCTTAGGATGGACCGTTTCACTTGCATTGAGAGCTCCTTTTACCACATGTCGTGGGTTCACAGCAACAGCTTCCAAATGTGCATCACACCTGGAATCAACACCAGACCTTTTAGCTGCTTCATTGATGAAGAAATAATGAAGGAATAGCCCACCCCTGCCCATGAAACAGCTTTTGAGTAAATTGTCCACTTTTATTCCCTTGAAAAAGAGAGGGTCTACAGATTAAAGAGCAGTAATTCCTAAACCCTTCCTCCAATTTAAATGTGAATGCCCTAAAATTAATGCTGAGCACTTTAAGTCAATATTCATTATTTAATTGTAACTTGAGTTTATATTGGTAAACAACCAAAATAACGAAACATGTATCAGCATCCAAATATTTCCAGACCTAACTCTATATACCCAAACTTAGATAAAATCCAACAGTGCAATTCTATTATAGGGGGGGAAAAGTAACGTGTTTTTAATTAACACCCAACTTTACATTTGCACATTCCCTTTATTTTTAGAAAATCTATAATTAATCGTGGAACTCACTGTGTGGGGACCTATTTTTAACACATTCTCTGGTATCCTTATACATACATTACCCAGCAGATCTGCATCTTTGCGTAGGAATCTGAGACACCATGATTTTTAGTGAATAAAGTAACAAATGCAGGAACTAAATAAAAAGCCGTATGTGATACCTTTATTCATGACTGGAATATTGATAGTGAGGGAGCATGGTTAGTGAGGTATCCCTTCAATATAACTCTAGATTACAAGGGGCAATGGTTATGTGGGATTGCTGAACTCCTTGGAATTCAGAGAATGGTCACAACTGCATCCATTGCACTTTATCTACATCAACATTCTATCTACAGCTGTGGCCAAATTTTCCAGCTAGCTCAGTTGAACATCATATACAAACATCAGTGGTTAGTCACTATTGATTTATAATTGTCTGGTCTTATAATAACAGGATACATAAACTCTGCAACGCCAGTAAAATTTGTGACAGTCTTATTCCATCGACAAAGGACTATCTGATTTGGTAATGGTCTGATATGTAATCTAGACTAAATTATTTATATAAGCTTTTTTTTTTATTCTCAATTCCAAAGATTATAGATGCCCCAGGTCTAATTTTTTGAATTCTCATGAAATTTCTTCACAGTTCTATATTAAACTGATGTTATTTTCGTAGACATCTTACCCTACTTTGGATATATTAGCAAATGGAATTTGTGGTATATAAGGTAAACAATGGTGGTAAAGATTCTTCAATTTCTTGTTATGTTTGATTAAGTAAACCTAATAGCCTGACTAACATGACATAAAATTGTCTACACTATCTAGAGATAAAAAGAAAATAGTTTTATGAATGTCCATCAGTCAGGTTTAAATACTTGCAGATGTTGTACTACCATTTTTATGTTCAAAATTTATGTTCTAAGCTTGAGATATGACGAAAATTACAATAGGTGTGAAATACAGATGTGCTCTTTTTCGTATATGTCCTAAATTGATATTCCTCAAAAACAATCTTTAAGTTTTAAGAAACTTTGTAGTCTTTAATTTTGCACTCCAAATGGGTCATGTAATGAAATGTATGCGAATATTCCAATCTTTGGTTGTAGTGCTTGCTAACAGAGAGTAAAAAGTGTAAGGATAATATAAATTGGAATGAGAAGAGCTATATTACTTAAATTAAAAGAGAAGAAAAAGAAACATATAGGCTTGTACAGAGTAAATATACTGTAGAGTAGAAAGTAAAGGGGGGGATACACATATTTTCATACGGTATGATATCAAGATTATATTATTATCAAATTCGATTTTTTTTCATTGCTTTGCTTCATTGTTGCTACATTTCCATTTTCAGTCCTGAATAGTATGGTTTAATAAAGTTACAAATTCAAGGGGAAAATTGGAGAAACCTTAATCTTGCATGTGCAATTACAGTGAATTCCCATTTGACAGTTGACCTTTTAATGTTTAAATTTGCCACACAAAAAAATAGCGTGATAATTAATGCACAGGCAGCATTACATGCTTGTAAAAGAATAAATGGTATCGTGAGACACTCAAAATTTCCTCTCTCCAAAACTTTATTTATAGACAGAAAATAAATGAATAACTGGGGAAAATATTCAGTTATCAAAAGTTGTTCATATGAATATGTTCAAAGTGATATCAATTCCTGTACTATTTATGGCAGTGAATGTGTGGTGTACACATTGTGGTGTACAAAAAGTTGATTTTGGCGACTAACATTATACTAGCACTACATTTGCAACTGAGTGTAATTCAGTGTTACATCTGTCTCTCTTTCTATTGAGGCTAAATTTAAGCTTTTGGAACATCCGTCTAATGGGTTGTATTGGATATAATTTTTGTTTTTTAGATTCCTTACCCATACAGATCAGAGGTTCCATCAAAACACTTTCTTAGTAAGACCTAAGGTGAAACATAACATGTAAAATGAAAAAAGAAATTATAATCATACAGTTGTAATTTGGTCAACTACTCGGGTGCTGTCCAAGTCCACCATTTCAACACACTCAATCTCCTCTCGGTTCTCTGGATTTTTTTTCTCTTTCCTCTTTTTCTTTGATGGTGGAACAAATGTCAGTATGACAGGCAAAATAGCAAAGCAGTGAAAGAATGTTACAAATGCTATTAAAAACAAGCACCTGAACAGTGTACGGGTCAAATTGGAAGGCACAGCTGCGAGAGGGATCAGACCAACAGTATAACAGAGGTAGCTCTGTAAAATAGCCACCCCGTGTATTTCCAGTGAAGTTTTAACCCACTTGGTCCTTGTAAATTCTTTTCCAAGTATAAATGTTGATATTAATGGTGCACAGTTATCTATTGTGTAGTTAATTCCATAAATTAGACAAAGTACAGAAATACAGTCCAACTCAACTTTCCACAATGTCATGAACCCAATGACTCCAAATTCAACTGAGGCGACAGTTAAGGTTATCCAGATGTTAATGATAGAACTTGCAACAAGGAATGAAGAGAAAAACAATAGAAACAAAGCACTTATGCATGAGTTCTGCAAAGGAGCTCCTACTGAAGTAGCATATCTATCCATGTAGACAAAAGATGGGTTGAAGACAATAAATTTTACTTTGGAGGTTAGTGAAAGTTTCCTTAATGTCTCAAGAAGATCATAAAGTTCTTCCCTATTTGTTTCCATGGTTTTAGCCACCAGAAACATCCTGGATGCTACCACATCTACTTCATTGTTGTATTTTTTGGGTATGATGATATCTTCAGAAAAATGGGCATACTGTGGGTTTTTCAGAAAGGAATATCTCAGTACGTCTGTGAAGTTCTTTTTTGGCAATCCGGTGGACATGTTAAGTTTTCTAAGATAGTTTAAGTAACTTTCAAACCAGGATATCCTCACAAAGCCTTTAGTGTACTGCAGTACATCCTCCTGGACACTTGTATTCCAGTATTCTATAGATTCATAGATGTAGAATCCAATAACCGGGCTGTAGTTACTGAAATACTTTTGCTGTACAGTTGTGTATGTTATGGTTCGTGTCTCAGTTGCTACAATGTTACTCAGATCAGACCCTTCATTGACCTGCAGGTAGCCCATTAAGGCAAAGGAAATATAAACAAGGTAAAATAGAACTACAAAAGGCTTTACATATGTGTTCGTAATCCAATCACAGTAATAACGCTTGAGAAAACAAACTAATAAATGACTTTCATAAGAGTTTGTTTCGTCTGAGTCTGCTGTGTCTTCACTAAACTTTGCAGTCATAAGAAATCTATACCACAAAGACTTGACTTGTAGTATTTCAGGCTTTGGCACCTTTCTGCAGAAGATACTGTGCTGGTAGTTGTTCTCGATGTACCCAGTAAACACAAGGCTAGAGCCATAGAATGATAGTACATAGAGGTAGTTGAAAAAGATTGCTATGCATGAATTGCGGCAAAATATTCTTGCTGCTTCAATGTTTGTGAAGGGACTGGCGCCAATCCCAAAGGTGACTAAATACATGGTTGTGGTCAGAGAATAGGAAATCATAGTGTCTGCATACACAACAGCTATTCTCTCTTTCACGTGTTGATCTTCTCTGGTTTTCCTCCAAGAAGATAACATTTCAAATGTTCCATATAAGCCATGACCTTGAAGAAGTAAAAGAAAAAAGAAAAAACAAGTTATAAAATGTCCTTGTGGTTGTTCAGAGTACAGAACATTTCATAGATGTTTATTATAACATTGAAAACCTTGGCTGTTATAGCAGCATATTTCAAATCTATGATTTATTTATTTATTTTTTTACAACTCTTGCATTTTAATTTCTATATAAAACAAGGGTTAAACATTTTCCTTAAAACAAAACTATTTTCTCTACTCAGAATTCTTTTTGGCATTTCTATTTTCTTGACACTCATTAAAATGGATGTTATTACAACGGAATCTATCCACTAAAGGTCACATTGCACTGACTCTGCTATCAACCTAAACAAAGCTAGGTGAAAAAGCTTGGAGAAAAATAAACATAAATCTCAAGGCAAATATTTTCGATGAATGTCTGTTAGTATAAAGAGTGAGAATGGGCTGGCTTCAAGCAGCTGTGAACTAAAACACTGTTTATGAATATGATTATTTATCTTAGTTTACTTTAATTAGCATTATGTTTTTTGTGTAGTTTTTGTGACAGCCCACAGCCTTCTAGTCAGGTTACAAAATGGAAAAGAAATACCGTAACAGAAAAGAGGAGCAATTTCAGGGCTATTCACAGCAAAGGAAGTTGTGATGCGTTTGCAACAGATTTGCAATATGTAGGACACTGCACGCTGCTACATGATTCTAGCTTTTTTAATTTGCTGGTAAGTTTAAAACCCTTAATTACTTTCACTAATTTTTATGATATTGTTATGATTTCAGAATATTTGGAATGAATAATAATTTGAAGAAGACTCACTTCAAACCATTTAGAAAAATCATAATAGGTCAATTTTTTAGCCAGTCAGTCATTTTCATGAGATCTTTAAAAATCTTTCATCTTATGCATCTTTTGAAGTCATTGCATAAAAGACATAGTTGACATAAACACAAACTACTCTCCTATCCAGAAACACATCTACAATACTGTGATGGAGACCACCCCTTTAGCACCCCCTTTGACAGGTAAGATACTAATTAAATTCTTAATTAAAACACTAACAAATCTAAAATGCTTACTGAACAATATGTACACATTGGGTAACCTTCGCTTTCCATTGCAGCTTAACTGGTGATGAACCTGTTAATATTATTATTATTTTTTTTTTAAACTGTGAATCCCACTGATACTGCCGAATCACTGTTAACAGAATGGTTCAAATGCACAGTGAGTGTGCAAATTGTGAAATTCCT